TGAGGCGTGATGTTGCGGGCGCGGCGCGCGCGGGGAGCCGCGAGAAGGCTGGGTGCGGTCGGGCGGGTCTGGGGTTCAGGTGCTCCAGCACCGCGTTCGGAGAGATGGGGATTCTTGCCTTTTTCCCTTGTGTGGAGGGGTTGGGTGGGATGTGAAGGGTGGGTTTCAGGAGGAGGATGAGCTGTGGATGTTGCCTTTGAGGCAGTTGGAAAAGCTGTTGCACTGGGGCTCCCATTTCTACTTTAGGATTTGGGGGGTTTATTTTTATTTTTCCCTCCTGGCGGGATGGGTGGGGGTCGAGGAGGGAAGAGAACCCTCTGCTTTTGGGTCGGGGTGGGTAAATTGTGAGCGTGGATGGATTTAGACTTTTAAATCCTTCAAGAAGAACGAGATCTTGGGTTAAGACAACTTCATTCTGGCAGCAACATTAGGAAAGAGGTCCCATTACATTCAGTTCCTTAAAGGTGTTATCTTCCAGTCTTTTTTCTTTGCCTAAATGGTCTATGTTTCACCTAGAGTTTATCCTGGCCCCTTAAGAGAAGGCCCGAGGATCAGGTGGTTGCTTTGGAAGCCACATTTCTGAGGAATAGTTGCAGGTGGTTGTGGTTGGCTGCTTTGGCTGGATAAAATGCACTGTTTGAACCGTTCTCTTGGCGCTAATTGTGTGAAAAATGCTTAAATGTTTTAAAGCACAGCTGTCTTTTATAACTCATCTTTCAGTAGACCTTGACATTTAGCTACTTTGTGTTCAACAGTTATTGGAGATTATTTTTGTTTCTCAGTTGTACATGGCTTTATTGGACATTTGATAAGTGAATTGGATTTTTTTTTGGTAAATCTCTCAATTTCTGAGAAATGTTCTTGGAGTCAAGTGCTTTTTAAATACTCTAATAACATTTAGGGGCATGTGTCTCACTGTAGGGAGATGTTACTAAGAGTAAACAGTGTTCAACGTTCTTCGCATCAGTGTTTCGCAACCTAGCACATTAAATCAGAATCTTTTCTGGATTCCTACTTCCTATTAGATTACAGTATTAACTGGCCTTACCTCTCAGTGTCACTTAAGCTATTTCTTGCTCGGAAAACAGATCCTGTGATGGACATGTATTATGTAAAGGATGTAAGTAGGCATGACTCTCAATAATTCATTTATGGAGGAAGAGGAACCGTCATGAAATGGAATTTAAGCAGTGACTTTCTCAAGGCTTACTCAATTTACTTGGGAACCTAGCCAGAGAAGTGCTTTCCTGTAACCCAAGAGAGAAATATACAGAGTGAGTGTCAGTAGTTGCAAATCATTGCCTCTTTTAACATGCCTACTTAGTGAGCAGACTATTATCTTCCAGCAAATACTTCTGCTTGAAGAGACTTATAGGAAACAGATGATAATCGCTATTAAGTGAGAAAGGGTGTTTTGTTCAATTTGTAATTATAAGCAAAAGATTTAATTAACTGTACCCAGATCAGATTTTAGGTTAGTACAGGAATAGTTTTGATTTCGGGTTAGTCTCTTGGAAGGAAAAATTAAAATTCACATATCTAGTTTTGGCTTTTAAATTATGTTTTGATTTAATTGGGTACACACAAGGACAAATGTGAACTAAGGTATTGAGTGAAATTGTATTGCTAAAATGACATTTGCATGATTGACGGTGGGATGTGATTCTCCTTGTAGGAATGCAATCATGATTTTGGGAAAAGTGTAGGATAGAAGTGATCTATTTCTCTTTAGAATCTCTTAAGCCTGAAGAAAACAGTACATTTTAGTTTTCCAGAAATGTCGCTTGCTAGTCATTACTGTGATATTCTTGTTGAGCCTACTGGGGTGTTCCTTTTTTTTAATTGCTAAAGTCAGATAAGTATGTCAGTCTGTGAATTCAGCATTAGTACTGGAAACAAAAGTGAAGTTTCTTATAGCAGCAACTGCTCTTTTTCTATGGTACGTTTGTGCTTTTTGAAGTAGTATAAGAGCTGTTAAATGTGTGTTTTGCACATACTTTATCAAAAACATTGGTGGAGAAAGACCAGGGAATGACGTATCTTGGTTAATAAAATAATAAACAGTATATTGATTATAGTTTTTCAGAGAAATAAAATGTAATAAAGTAAATTTAGTATACAGGTTATGTGGAATATAATTTATTTCAATGGCTCTTCAAAATCTGAGCCTTGGGGCACTGATTCATTCATTTATTTATTCAGCAGTTATTTATTGAGTATGGTTCTGGGTACTTTTTTAGCCATTGCGGATACAGTAATGAACAAAGTTGACAAAAATTCCCACCTTCATGGAACTTATCTTCAGGACACCTTCTGGGTAAGTGAAGAGGAACTCAGCAAAGGAGGTTAAGAGTTCATTGTGTTAGGAGGAAAACCAGGAGAGTGTGATGTGCTAGAAATGAAGGAAAGGAAGTTCTCACAGGAGGGAGTGATCAACTGTGTCATTGTTTAAAGATGTGTCAGTGTTGGGTAAGAAAGAATTCTGCCTGATTCTAATGTTTAGTAACAGAGGAATGACGAAATGCTTTCTAGTGTGAGAGCAGGAAAATGTGAGACTCTTACAGTCTTTCATGTCTCTAGATTGAATTTAAAGTATATATTTTTAAAATTCTAGTCAGAACAAAATAGGCAGCCTGGCAGTGTATACTTGTACTAAGGAGAGATAAAACATTGTTCTTAATAATCAGATGTATATTTATTTTTCTAACACGTGTATCACATCAGAAGGTATAAAAGAGTCCACAGGGAAAAATCTCTTCTGTCCCATCCAGTTATTCCTGAAGTCATTACTGTTTCCAGTTTGTTTTTCCTAATTAGTGGAATTGTGTGTAACAATATGGCATTTCGCTATTTTAAAATTGCGTAAATATAACATATTTTATCTTGTAGGCATTTTTTTTTTTTTGCAGGCTTAATATTTTTTTTTCATAATTTAAGTCTGGCTACCTGCAGACCTGTTTTTTTAAGTAATAGCTTTATTGAGAGATAATTCATCCAGTAAGTGTACAGTTCAGTTTTTTGGTTTGCATTCCTCACCGTGATCAATTTTAGAACATTTTCATCCTCCCAGAAGGAAACCCCAAGCCCATAGTTATTCCCCTGACCTTTGTTTTTTAAGTATTGTTTTTGCATATTCTGTGGGAAAATGTGAATTACTTTGTTACCAGTTAACTGACAGTGAAGCCATTTAGTGTTCACTTTTACTATTCCCTGATTGAATGGAAGCATAGGTTTGTGTAAAGGTCAAATTAGATAGTGGTTTATTTAGTTGAATGAATAGTTGTGAAACGATTTGATTATCTAAGTGTCTTGTTTTTATTATTCCTTTATTTATCAAATATTTATTGAGTGCCTTTTGTGTTCCAGCAAGTCCTGGGCTGTGTCCAGTGGATTCCATGGTACATAAAGGACAGGGTCCCCTATTTTTCAGGAGTTTCATTCTAGGAGGAGAAGCGAAGTTAACAGGAGTTTGTGGTCTGCTGTGGTAAGTGCTTCAGCAGGTGACGTACAGGGCTCTGCCTCAGCTCATAGGATGGGTCCCTAAACTGGATTGTAGGAAGATCTAAGATGATATCTCACAGATAAGTAGGATTTAGCCAGAGGAAAAGGATGCAAACAGGGAACAGAATGTGTGGGACCCAAAGGCAAGAAAGCTGCGGGGCAAGAGGAGTAATGTGAAAATAGGTTGGTCTGGCTAGGGCGTTAAGTGCTGGAGCATTGGGTGCTGGTGCGAGGTGATGGCCTCACTTCTCCTTTCTGTTGAAGAGTATGTTGTCTTAAAAAGGTGAAATGATTGTATTGTTAATTGAGATTGTCTGTGGATTGCTGTCCCTTTCTAGCTGTATAATTTTGAGTGAGTTACTTTATTAACTAAAACTCAGTTAATTTTCTCATCCATGAGATGAGAATAATAGTCCTACCTCATGTGATCGTTGTGAAGAATAAATGAGATGATGCTCACAAAGCTCTAGTGAAGTGCTTGGGATGTAGTCAGTGCTCAGCTGGTGACAATGTGAGGGTGGTGAGGGCGGTGATTTTGTTGGTGGTGGCGTTAATGATGGTGGTGATGATCCTGAAGTATGGACTTCCTGAGTGTATTTCAGAGCCCCAGGGAGTGCTCAGGAGACTGGAAAATGACACCTGTCATTTTAACCTTTTCCTGGGAAAAAGGAAGTGGATACCAAAAACTTCAGACCAGCACTGTCCAGTAGGACTTTCTATGATGATAGAAATGTTCTGTACCTTCACCATGAAATACAGTAGCTGCTAGTCACATGGGCCTGTCGAACACTTGAAATGTGGCTCGTGTGACTGAATTGTTAATTTCATTAATTTAAATAGCCACTGTGACTGGTGGCTACTGTATTGGGCAGCACGTTACAGATTGATATATCTAACATTGAATTCTGGGAATATTTTTGAATAATTTATTTAAAAAGTTGTTTTAGAAGCCTTATTGGGGAAACGTCTTCACTGGAATACAGCATGGATTCTCTGGGTCATATCAGACAGTAACTCTAGTTTCCATAGAATTGACATGGTTCCCAGATGGGTAAATAAAGGAAATATAGTACTTGTAATCTGTCCAGACGTCAAATAGATCTTTTCATGCTGTCTTTGTGGGAAATATGAAAAATTATGTCTTCGATTTCATGAGAACAGGGACATGTGTTCTCTACAGAGTAAATAATAGTTGTAAATATTTGATGAATGAATGGGTAATGATACAATTAGTGAAGTCACAACTGGCTGTAAATGGCTATCCCCAGAGGGTGAAGAGTTGCTTAGTGAAGACGATGGGTTTGAGGACCTGACGTTAGAAGCCTTATGCAGTTGGATATAGTATTGAAATGATCCAGGAATAGTGGCATAGAAGATAGTGGCAATGTGGATGAATTGCCAGCACATCCTCACTGAGTGTGGCGCTTGTGCAAGTGGTCACTGCTGATAGTGAAGAGGTGGAGGTAGAAGAGTGTGTTGCTGAATAGCATGAGAAGCGGAGTAACAGGGATTTCATATGAGGGTCTAGGAGCAGTGGTCTGGAGGTGGCAGTGGGAGAAAGAAGGGTATACTATCCTCGTTCCCAGTATTGGGTGTGGCGTGTGAGAGACTTTGTAGCCTCCACTTGAAAGGGCTACCTGGGAAGGGGTGTCCCTGGAAAGCCGCTCTCAGTGAAGGCGGAGAAGTAGTGAGAACTTGTAGAGGAGTTTTTTGATAGTGGAATGAAGTTCCTTGAGAGTATATTTCCCCACCCAGTTGGATTCATCATTTAAACTTTAAATTTAAAAGAAGTCTCTCTCATCTTAACAAAAAACTCTTCTCCAGCTTCATACTTTTTCTGCCTCTTGCTGCAAGTTGCTTTCTGCCTTACAGCCAGACTGTTTTGAGAGAGTTGTCTACATTTGCTTTACATTTCCATTTCTTCACCTGCAGTTTTCTTCTCAGTCTATTTCCATCTTGTGTCTGTCTCCGTAATTTCACTGGAACTGTTTTACTGGGATTGCTCGTGTCTTTCTTTAAATAAATTTTTTCAGAAAAACTGGCTGTTTTTCTATCCTTTTATTTAACCTCTTAGCAGCTGTACCAGTTGTCCATTTCTACTCAACAGATTATACCCAAACTTAACTTAAAGCGACAGACATTTATTGTTTCATGGTTTCTTTGGGTCAGGCATCTGGCTTTGGTGTGTCTGATCCAGGGTCACTCATAAGGCTGCAATCAAATGTTGACTAGGACTGGTTATCGACTGGCGGAGGGTCTGCTTCCAGCTCACTTATGTGGCTGTTGGCAGGCCTGAGATCCTGGTTGGCTGTTTGATGGAGAAATTACTCACTTTGCATTTTGGGTCTCTGCATAGGATTATTTGCAATATGGCTCCTTGCTTCTAGATTGAGAGCTCTGTGGAGCTGTGGAGGAGGAGGAGAGGTACTCGCCAGAGTCTTTTTCTAACCCAACCTTGGAAGTGGTATTCCATCACTTTTGCTGTATGCTGTTCATTAGAAGGGAGTCACTAGGTCCAGCTCATGCATGGGAGGATCCCGCACGAGCATGAATACTCGAGAGAATACATCATTCAGAGCCATTTTCAAGATTGCCCAAGGTAGCATGTTTGACACAGCTGACCTCTTCCTCCTTACTCCCTCCTTAGTGGAACTCTCACTTCTTTTGAGATCTTGAGATCATGTTTCTGTTTTCCTTCCTTGTTCTCTGGGCTCTCTTTCCAGTCAGCAAGGCCTACACCTGACTGATTTGACAGGTGTAGACACAACAGACCCTTCAGATTTAGGCAGGGGTTCCTCTGTGTCCGCCGATTGAGCTGTCCACATATTGCATAATATTGTAGTACTTACTACTGAAAAAAATTCATGGATAAGTGCACCCATGCGGTTCAAACCTGTGTTGTTCAAGAGTCAACTGTATTTGCAAAACTGAGAGTATACTGTACATCAAATGTATATCCACTTTCACTTACTTAAAAAATTATAAACGTTTTTTATGTCACACATTGGTTGTAAGTGTTTTTTGTAGATGGCATGTTAAATCATAAAGATTTCACTTAAACATTTCCCAACTGAGTGAGTACTAATAAAGCTGGTATATCATAAGTCATAATGTAGCTGGTTTTCTCTACATTTTGGATCATTTAAGTAAATTGGTTTCCTCTTTTTGGAATTACTGGATCAAAAGGTATGAATGTTTTTAAGACCTGTAACATAGCCATTTTTGAACTTGCTTTTTCCCAAATGCTCTTATTTTTTTAAGGACGAAAACAAACACTTTGAATACAAATGCTTTTATTATTATAAGGAAGAAAATAAAACATTAGGTACTTATAATTTTTCACTTAAACTTTTAAATTTATGAAATGTTTCAGACATGTAAAAGGGTATAATTGTCTAATTAATAAATACCTGTGTACTTAAAACCTAGTTTAAGAAATAAAATTATTATAGAATTAAAAATCTTTTTGCTTAGCTTTCCTTGATTATAAATGTCTCTACCAACAATGATGTGGATGTTTAATCTTACCCAGTGATGCAGGTCTATATCCAGGATCTTTTGGGGCAGGATTTCTGCGATTTTGGAAAGGTGGCATAATGAGTATACTGTATGTTGTCTGACTTTCCAAGCAAGGTGGGGACACCTTCCGATTCCTTCATCAGACGCGTTGGTATTTCGGTATCAGTTGAGGTGTGATTTTGCCACCAAATTAATTACAAAATTGGGGGGTTTCATATGTTCCTGAAATTGAGGTGCACGGATGTAAACGTGTTCAGTGTGTTTGTTCAGTTTAGTCAGTCGCGTGGCATTTGTTGCACTGATCGTAACATAGTATGAGATGTGGTATAAAATGGAAGATAACGTAACTGCCATCCACACGATGTAATATGTTAGTCTTTTAAGAAACCAGGTATCAGTGAGGGCTGGAGCCACTGGGGAAGGCTGCACAACCTGGGATGTGACTCTTGAACCAAGTGGCACAGGCTGCTGATACCAGGAGAGAACAGCCCTGGTTAATAACCTTGTGTTTGCTCTAAGTATCTGCTTGACAAGACCCTTGTCGTGGCGAGAACTTTGATAGACTTTACAATTAACTTGATTAACTGATTGATAAGAATTATTACAAACCACAGTTAACTTGATTGTAGCTGAGTTACTCAGCCTTCTCACCCCTTCATAAAAAAGAATTAAATGGCAGCTGTGACAGTATTAAGTGTCATGGCTGCTCCTAGCAGAGGTGCTCTGGCTGGCTGGTATGTCACCAAAACAGTGCTGCTTTAGCCTCAGCTCTATAATTTTTGGTCTCCAGGAGAATCAGATCAAGTCATACAGCCTGATGCCTGGTGTTAGCAAAACTGCTATATGTCACATGCTGAGGGTGGAAGCAGACATCTTGCTTTCTTTAATTTGTACGGTTGTTTTTAACCTCCTACTAATCACAGAGACTTGGTCAGTGTGGGGCCTTGCCCATTAATTGCTATATAATAGTGTTGAATGGTTGAGGGCCTTAGTTTGTAGTGAGACTGTGTGAGTAAAGGTAGTACATGCTCACTGTTAAAACAAATGGAAAAGGAAAAAAGAAGTACATGCACAAAGGAAAAAGTGGCTCCATCTGACCTTTTTTAACAGCTTCTTACTGTCCAAATCATTTCTTTGTATGTGCGAATACACGTCTGTATTTTTGTCTGTTGATGGGACTGTATTATACAATTCTTCTGTAATTTGCTTTTTTCCTCGCCTCACAGTATGTCATAGATGTCTTTATAGAAATTGTCACATACAGAGATTTACTTGAGAAAAAAATTTTAACAGCAGTATTTTATTTTATAGTTTGGAGGTGTAATTTACTTAACCAAGCTCTTGTTGGTGGAAATTTAAGTTCTCTCTTTTTGCTGGTACAAAGTAATACAGTAATTGAACATCATTGCACATATATCCTTGAACCTGTGAAATACATCTTTTATAGAGAATAATTTGGGGGGT